ATTTGTTGGATGACAGATTGTTGGTTGGTTCGTTCCCAACCAGTCACAGTGAGTTCCTTGTTGCTTATTCTTGTTATTCTGGCCATCTGACCACAGTGTCAGTATCGAGTCAGTGTAGGCGACAGCTGTTGATGAATGTCTGTAGTTTGTTATAAGTGTTTTTCGTAACGTGTCACCAAGTCTCTCAACCATCACATGGAAGCACTGACTTGACTGAATTGGTTTTGAAAATCGGGATGCTGTTCACGCTTTGTGCTGAGTGCAGTAGATCTCCACCGTGATTTCAGATTAAGGAAGGCCTATCTTGCTTTTCAGATCCTGGTTTTGACATCCCCATCTGCACCGCCTGTAGCTGAGACGATTTTCCCTTGTCCAGACTGGTGAAAGAGACAACTTGCTTTAGATTTCTTCCATTGATGGTGATTGATGCCTTTTGTTGTTGGTTGGGTATCTTCATCACCTCCGTCATCTCTACATTCACTTGAAGTCTCATCTTCGTTGCCTCATCTTCCAATTTGTCGGTTTTTGCCTACAGATCTTTGAGTTTGTGCGACATTAGACATAAAAAAGTAGAATTCTATACTTGAAATGTTTTAGTGAAAAGATTGGCAACTTTATAATAGAAAAGTTTACTTTATTCTCCTTATACGGTGACACGTACGAAATATCCGTTCTCCGTAGAATGCAGGAAATCGTTGTCATTTTAAATAAGAACTTCAGAATAAAAGTATAACTTGAAGTTTCTTTCATGGCATTTTGTTTGTTAAATGTAATAAATTGAGAGACAGCATTATATACTGCAAGAAATCTCTACTCAGATTCACAACACAGTCACATAGAGATGAGTAGACAACCAGATACTTAGAAAATTTTTCTACCCGTGAATTAAAACACGGAGTATTTAGAACTGTAGGGTGGATGAGAAGAAATTGTCAAACATCTTGATATGATTATCAGCAGTTAATTTTTCTCAAAACTCTATTCGCTCAAAGTGATTATCTCACTGTGTTACATACTGAACAAACTAATTTGGAGTAAACAAGAACCTAAACTTTATACTCAGCAAAAGCATGTTCTGGCGTTATTCCTTCTTTGATCTTCAATAAACTTAAGGCTACCCCCGTCTCCCTTATCTGTAGTCTTTTCTTTTGCCCCTATATTTTTCATCTATAAGCATTTTATCTTAATACTGACGAATTTGAAAAAAAAGTCGACTTCCTTACAACAATTACTCACATTCCATTATGAAAATGTATTCACCTCAAACTTGATCTGCTTTCAGACTGAAACTAACAAGAACCTTGCACACAAGTGTGTCGGTTCAAGTTGCACACTTCATAGCAGTTCACAAAAAAAAGTGGATAGGAAAAGACTGATATCAAAGTGGACAAAGTTGTATGGGAGAATAGACAGTTTGAAGATAACGGTTAGTGCAAATATTCGAGCTTTTGAAGATGTCAAAAAGTGAATACATCTAAGTCATTGTGACCGATTTTCAACATTGTCACCAAGGGCCCTCAACCACTGATTCCATTCGTCTCAGGTGCCTCAACCAGGTAGACTACATCTCCCCACACGACTCAGGCAATAGTGGGGGACTTCATTGACTGGTGCCATGTTTTGGCATGGTCAACCTGAACTCTCTTGCAATGTAATCCAACTCACCCAGCATAGCAAGTTGAGGTAGGCAGTGCTCTGCAGGCACAACACGTTTGCAAGCCAACTCAATCGATCAAGGTTCATAACTTCATCAATTGACTTGCCTGTCATGCTTAGTATCCTTCGCCTAACCCCAGCATTGCCACATGGTGATTCCACTAAAAGCAAACAATGTTACGAAGACACCTGTGATCAAAACCCTGTAACCGTTTCATGTCTTCTACTTTTAACGGCCAGGTCTTACAGCCGTTCTACAGGATAGGAACGGACTGCAGAGCAGTATACTCATCCTTTGATAGCAATCGAATATCTCACCAGTTGGCACCACAGACAACACAAACTGATAAATGCCAAACAGACCCTCTGTATTCGAACTGAGACTACATCAGCAGCCAGCTCATTCGGGCTAATGCAACTCCTCAAGTAAGTGAAGTGTTTAGCATATTCCACCACTTCATTCCCTATCAGTAAAATTGAAGTAGTCAACTAGTCCTGGAGCATCATCTTACACCTGACAGGTGCCAAACGCTTGCCAAACATATTCCGATTTCTGCTCAACACGTTCAGAAGACCTTGTTTTCACATTGTATAGCTTCATTTAATATGTTATTCAAGTCTTTAAATATTTAAAGAAAAACTTCTTTCTGTTACATTTAGTATACTTTATGAAGAATTACAAGATATTTCCCGTCTATTCTTCTTTATTTGTAAATAAAGCAATCCATATCAAGAATAAAGTTAGATTTAGCATTTTCTGAAAACAAACTTTGGGTTGAAGAGGTATTGCAGTCATTCTTGGCATTTTCGGTAATGTTACATTAAACGCAGTCATCCGGAATGATACCTTTCTGTTATTAGTTGATGTTGATCAACTAGTGAAGGTTCGCATTTGTTAGATCAATCATACTTCGAAGTGATCAGGATTTTCTCAGTGAAACTCGATCACCTTGTTTATGTATATCTATACAAGTTCAAGTCAATTTGTAGACTCAATACAGAGTGAATACAGTTGAACTCTAGGCTTAATTCAGTAACAGGGGAAGAAAGAAAACTTCAACAAAGTTATGTATGAACATGTTGAACATAAACTATTTAAGATGGTAATTTTATAGAGCATGTTTCCTCCACCTTTCTTATACAGAACCTTCATTGCAGGTATAATAGGCATAGAATTTGGACACTAACAAAGTGTAGTTCCACAGTAAATTTGCATTTTTGAAACAGCAGTCATTGAAATAGTAAATAATATCTTATCACTATGTACCGTAACAAACAGACGTCACATGTTCGAATCCAGGTGCGGCCTAAATCTTCATTTCACCTTCAGTCATCACCTAGTATCATTACTAGTCTCCCAAACCACGGCTGTCTCAGATAATCAAAATAATAAATACATAGAACAGTCTAACAAGTGTATGTTGGTACTTGAATTTAAGTGTTTGAGACAATCAGTCAGTCAAAATAGTATCTTAAAATATAAGGTCGGTTGGGCAGATTGTATCACCAATATAACTTCCATAATAAAATATATCAGGAAATGGATGTAGCCCACAAGTTATGGTCATTGGAAGTACAACAATTGTCTCAAATTGTTTTTGAACACACCGTATTGATTAATCCCCCAATAAACTTTAAAACTTGTCTCCGAAAGGTGATATGAATAACGTGATAGTCTGATACAGACTTAAAGTTGGCGTTACTATGACATATCATGCACCTAAGTTTCGGATATTTGCATATTTGAAGACCTTGGATTAGGAAAATTGTATTCACCAATTTAAATGTACATGTGGTCATACATATGTAACAAGGACTCACCCATCATTGAAAGTAAGGGTCACAGAACACATTCCAATGTGGCTTTAGAAACAGATAAAATCGCCTAACCTAAGTGATACCGGGAACAAACGTCCTAGCTCCTCAATGGTTCAATATATTATTGAAAGAAGGGCATAAAATGGATCCATATAAGTCATTTCAGTCCATCTATAAAACCTGTTGGGAACATATTTCAAATTTTGTTGAGCGTCAACTATTAGGAGGTCTAAGCCAACTTTATGCGTTCAAAGACAATTATATGTGTATTAAGAATTCAGTAAGGATTGAAATTATGTAATCCTTTTTCATTTAGTTTTGCATATATCGTTACTTAAATCAACAAGCAATGTACACAGAAACTCAAGCCTGCTGAAGTTTACTTAAGCTAGGGATAAGGAGTTCAGTGACAACATTTTAGAGGTAATTTATATCCTGTCAGATAATCTATGAAGAATATCAGTTCTTCGATGAAGAATAACTACGTAACTGGAGTCTGCATATTCTCCGCCTCTTCACTGATATGTATTGTACTGTCACACAGATTCATTTATGACACAACCTTCTTAAAGGCTAGTTGAGAACTGAGTACTTAGTGAATCCGAAACAATATATAAAATTAGAACTATATAGTTTACATAAGTAAATTTTAATATAGATATAATCCTAGCTGACGAGTTCCAGATAGGGCGAAATGCGCGTCGTGGATTCTTCTGCTAGCCACAACCAACAGAATTATCATAATCCTAGCATGTTTGGATAATCAAAACAAGGTTACCCTGAACGTTTTACTGTGTATGCTACAGTGTCTTCAGTAGAATATTCCAGGCACTGAGCTTAATTTCAATGATTTGCATAATAAGCTAAAGAAAAATCAAACTCAATCTTTTACTGTGGGCTTGTTTACACTGTAGGTTTCACTGTTAACTATTGATCAACATACATTTTGTAAGCCACAATAAAGTGTCATAGACACTGAGTGACTCATTTAATTTGTTTACCCTTTTGCCTATGACCTGGGAAAAAATATTGTAGAATACTTCCAATTTATTTATATTTCTTTAACTATGTAATCAACTTTATCATTTTGAACAAGCTGAGACTTCATTTATGTTTCTACTGTTCAATGTAACCTTCTGGGAAATATCAATTGAATGAGCGTAGAACGTTCTGTTAGTAACGGCTTTATACTAGTTTGGCTGACAAATATGGGTTACCAAGTATTAATGATATCCAAATATGCCTTCGCCCACCAATAATCAATGACTCTAACATTTATACCCTATTATACTTTTATTGTACTCTAAACTTGTATTAAGCCCCTTCACTCCCCGGTAAGAGCTTTCAACCCTAGCTTGAAGTTCTCCTTAAGTACTACTTCACTTAAATGAGTAGAGTAGTTAAACTAGGAACAGAACTAATATGTTAATTGATCAATAATTTAAAAATTAATTAAACAGTTATCATCATAAAACCTTTTAGTTTAATCAATGAATAAATCAATAAACAAAATTGTCTTCACTTACTTTATTTTCAGCTTTAATAGATGGCATGATTTCTAATTTATTATTTCAATAATTAAACAATAAAGAGGATAGTAATCAATTAATAGATTATGATTAACAGTGTAAATGATGTTGGTAAGAGATTTCAATATGATTAAAACAATTGAATAATTGAACGAATGGTAAGATGAATTGTATTTCACACAAAATAAATTTCCTTTTCTGAAAATTTTTTTTATATTTCGGGAGAAGTGAATGAATTTATGTCAGATGATACAATAATTGAACTATTCTAATAAAAATAATGATGACGGCAATAATAGTGCTATTCAACTGGTCACAGTAAAGCATAAATGTAATTCTTGTTCAATTACCAATGTTATTGCGATTACTACTGTTATCACTGCTACCCCTACCAACCTAACTAGCACACAGACCACTACAACTGTTATTCAATAATAGTATTAGTAGTGTTGCCAATCACATCGCATACTGTAGGGTAGATTAATTTCCTATCCCCTTTTGTTGAAATATATCATCTTTTCAACTTCCTCTTTCCCCTACTTTAGTATTTCTATAATAAAAATACCAGAAGCATCACCAACGCATTCGTCCACCTACGCATTGTGCTTTAAAATCTTTAAGAAGTAGTGAAATGTCCAGACAATATGTTATTGATATAAATGTGATGTTAGCATCATGTGAATGTATATTGGTTCCTATTGAATATGCATATAAACATGTTTATGTGGACAGTGTGCAAATAAGTTTCTAGTCCACTAATTTCTCTTCTCTCAGTTAGTCATTTAGAGATAATTTCTGCTACAATCTTTGTTTTTTACACAGATTGTTTTTCTAATCAATAAAAATGTATCTACAGTTCCAATGTGATACTTTTTAGAAATGGTTATTGATTACCAAAAGCAGTAATCTATATTAACTGGTTCTAGTGTATATAGATGGTAGTATAACTGCATTGTATCGAGAATTCAGTGTGGGTATAACAAGAAAATGTGTGTGGAACGAAAGTACAGATGATGATGTTCTGCAATAGTTGGTATTTTGCAGAATCCAATAAAAGGCGAATAAGCCAGAAACAGTACTGACGAAGATCAATCTAACATGATTTCCCTTACGAAGTTAAAAACGTATGAATTTTAAAAAGATCATATATAGTACAATTGTTTTTATATGATACCGTCGTTGATTGGACAGAATTGACCGATCTCTATTAGCATATGGGCTCCTGTGCGGATGCCTCGATATTGCTAGCGTTCTAATTATGTTAATATCTGAATAACAGTTAAGGCTAGGATTTTAAATACGGATCTCCCCAGTGTTGTTGCCTGTAATTTTCCATCGTAAATTGCTCTAAGTTGGCATATGCGCTCTTGCATGGATGCGTCGATGTTGCCTTACGTTTCAATTTGGTAGTATTGACGGATTGTGGGTAGTAGTGGAATCCACGATGCTTGTGTCGTCCTGTTTGAGACTCGTTAGCTGGATTCATTTGTCTCCCAGTGAGTGATGTTGTTCATTCTAGGACTCGAGCCCAGAACTAATCTCTCCAGAGTGTTATTCAGTGGGTCACTCAGTCATGATACTAATGACGTCAAAACTCTACCCATCGCACAAGGAATGGCTACCGTGACTCAGCGGCCTAGTGGACAACGCTGTGGTTTTTAAAGTGACCGGTACTGAGTTCCAGTCTTTGTGGGAACAACATCATTCACTGAGAGGCAGGTACACCCGACTGACGAGTTCCAAATGGGACGAAACATGTGACGTGGATTCTACTGCTAGGCACTACTCATCACTGATACCAAACGGACCTTCTTTTTTTAATCCACTGACATGGTAATTGCATGAGTTATAACAACATTGAGTTCAAGGATTCGTATTTACAGGTGTGAAAAACAGGATACAACACTAGGGAGTTACTTAATTGAAAATATCACGTCTCCTTAAGATACCAACTGAATACTGACTTTTCATGAAATCGTTTAGTCTAAATAGCCTAAAATACATCTGAAAAAAGTGTGACCAATTTTGATTTTTAATGAAGATGAACACTTATGTCAATTGAGACGCAAGCCAACTCTCTCATTTACTTATCAAAAGTTTCTCAAATTCCACTACCAGTAGTATATGAGCAGATCTATAAAAACCTGATTGTTATTAAGATTTTAGTTTATATTTAACCATTATTTATCTAATTACGAAGATACTCTGGTCCACATTTTGCAGTTCATTTCAGTACTGCCTGACGTAAACGCTTAAGCCGAATGGTTTCTGATTTACAAAAAAATAAACTATGACCTCTAGCTTTCACTACCTTACAAGTTCTTTGGTTTCATATGCATAATAATAAAATTTATGTATCACTAAAGCTGTAAGGAGATTTTAAAGAATAAACTGTAAGAATATAATAGTTATTCATACGTTTAACGAAACAAGTGAAAAGTACTGAGGAGACTTGAAGTATATGACATGAAACGAATCTAATCACTTCAATTTCCTTAAAGCTTAAACCGTTTTGATTAGGAAGTTTATCAGTCCAAAGGTACACATGATTCAAAAGTAATGAAAATTATGAAGAGTACTGATAAAACATAGAAGTTAACTTAAAAACTGTAGGACAGAATTCTACACTGAGTTCAAGGGTAATATTTAATTGTATTATTTTATTTTGTCAACACTTGTAACACAGTGGTTCTGTAACCCCTGATTTCAGACAAAATCATACAGATGACATCACCTGTAAACCTGAAGAACACATTTTTCACTATGCAAAACGATGCCATCACTCTACAGCCATCTTAATTCCGTAAATCTCAAAATAGACAAAAGCTGATATAAGCCACTGAAGGACACGAGTAAAATGTATCGTGTATCAGAAGCCTTAAAGTGTTGTTAACGAAGTTTGTTTTCAGTTTTCACCTGGTAAAAAAAAATATTGCTTAAAGCAAATTATATCCTGTAGATAAAGGTGATTATCAAATCCAAGGAAAAAAAACTCTTCGTAAAGATTGTGTATGACAACAATGATACACACGTAATTTCTAGAGGCAAAAACCAAGCCAGGAATTACTTGGCGTAACACACATCACTTTGGCCTTTTTTTATTCTTCAGCTAATCTGCTCACAATAATCTTAGTTATAAAAGTTTCACCACCCATGTAAATTCAACACAGCAAGAAAGAAAATATCTGGCCACCTTCACCAAATTACTGTCGACTGTAATGACAAGTAGTATGTGTTAACTAACAGTGAGCTAACTGAATCTTGTTCTCTTGTGAGTTGTCAAACAGCAAATATATAACAAGAGCAAGGACAACAATGCGAACAGGATAAGACGGATCCACTTTGTCCCGCTGGAATCTTTTCAATCCCCTTACAACCTAGATAGAATATCAAAATATATAGTTCTATTGAAAATTTAACACACTTAATATGCATTGAAAGGAAAGAGAATATCGGTCAGTGGTTAAGATGGACAGAAATTGTCATAGAGTAAAGGTAAGTCACAACGTCGAATTCAAGGAAAGCTACTGAATGTTGACAAGTTGTCACAGTTTTATACCGGATACAATGGAAGTTCCTTAAACAAAAATAACGACAAGAGTAGTAATCAAAGGGACTTAGAACTATAAGATTACGCAACTGGGTTGTACGTTAACCAAAGCAAGATATTATGACTTAGGGTGGGCAAATTAAAAATATCCCATACGGGCAAAACATGATGTAACTAAATCGACCTCTGAAGTTAATAAAGGATGATGTAATCAAATAACAGTCAAGAATAGTTATCAAGGTGGATAGGGGTTGCTTATAGCTTTGTTTGAACACCGAAGTCAGTATTGAGGCATTAAATAGCTATGCTTTTGGCAAACTTCAGGAGAATTGAGCTTGTTTGTTTATTAATTTAAAAATGGCGAAAAAATCTGCCTGTAGTTCAATGACAATGAGACACTCAGTGAATGTATTATTCAAAGTGTTACTCCCCCACACTTATAGGCTCTTGGCCATTTGTTCAGAAAATGCAGGATAGGCCCTTCTTTCTCTTTTTCCAATGTGTCTGTTGCCATAGCTACACATTCATTGTATATACAATTTGAGGTAACATAAAGAAGTACCTACCCACTTTTGACTGGATTAAAAAGCCCATTGTTTGGATCTTAGGAATTAACCTGACTTCAGTGAAAGTCTTAGCCAGGGATGTGTTCAATTGTCTGCTAATAGCTCCTGTAATATTCTCAGCTTTGAAACTGAAGTGTTGCTTTCTTCGAGTTTTTATCTTCTGTTTTTCCATATCTGTTGGTAAATGTTTAGAGATATCCATTTATTCGATAAACTTCCATTAGATCGGATATAAAACTGTGACAACTTGTCAACATTCAGTAACCGTCCTTGAAATAGCCGTTATGATTAACCTTTCCTCTATAACAATTTCTGTCCATCTTAACCACTGACCGATATTCTCTTTCCTTTCAATGCATATTAAGTGTGTTAAATTTTCAATAGAACTATATATTTTGATATTCTATCTAGGTTTTAATCGGTTGATAAGATTCTAGTGGAATAAACTGAATCCGTTTTATCCTCCTCTCACTGTTGTTCTTGCTCTATTTAAATTCATAAAAGGGAATTCATGAATGTAACTACAAATTATTTGAGAAATCGATCCATCACAGCTTGACCAATATAAGCTACATAAGAGTTCATTTACCATTATTTTCTACCAAATATTGCTATGTTGTAGGTTATCAAAACTTTATTTTACGTGTTTTTTAAATTTCTATACATTTTTGTAATCTCCTTAATATTTATCAGTTGGCTTTATTGTTTTATACAGGAAACCAGACATTGTGAGGAGGTTTACACACCCAAACAACTTATTTCCTGAAAAGTAGTTCACGTTTTATTTGGTAAAGGCCTCTTCGTCTTTGTGTCTCATTGCCTTATACACTGAAGTGTCAGGTAATGCGGCATGGATTCATAATCTGCTCCCCGTAATAGGTAGAACAATTAGCCTTCACGTAATAAAT